CTGCTCCTTGATGTCAGGGAGAGGCAGTACCCATCAGGGCTTTGGCGGAGGGGTACTTGGAGTGGCCTAGAACAGGGCATGGGAAGTAAAGGAAGGGAATAGGGCTGAGCCCAGGACGTTCTATAATAAGTTATAGACGTGAGTGCCGCCTATATGCTGATTCCTATGAGTCCTCCTAGCGAATTAGAACCTGAAGGTGGTCTTGGGGATCCCTATCCTGAAGGTGTCAACTTTTCTTGAAAGGTCTTGATGCCCATTACCACATTGCTCCCCAGGAGGTGGAATTAATTTACATTCTCACCAGCAGTGTATAAAAATGCATATTTATTTTCATTTAAATAAGTTTTTGCCAATCTGATAAGCAAAATATTTCATTTGTGTGTGTGTTTTTTTTTTTTTTTTTTTTTTAAAAAGATGACCGGTAAGGGGATCTTAACCCTTGACTTGGTGTTGTCAGCACCACGCTCAGCCAGTGAGCGAACCGGCCATCCCTATATGGGATCCGAACCCGGGGCCTTGGTGTTATCAGCACCGCACTCTCCCGAGTGAGCCACGGGCCGGCCCTTTCATTTGTGTTTTAATGTGCATTTTTTTTTCCTTTTTGTCCTTTTTCGTGTCCGGCAACAGATCGCAACCCTCAGTGTCGTGCCCTGACCTGACCGGACGGCAATGGGATCGCAACCCTCAGTGCTGCGCCCACACCTCGCTCAGCCAGTGAGCAGGAACCGGTCTGTATGTGGGATCCGAACCCTCCGCGGGAGTGCCGCCGCGCTCCCAAGCGGAGCACTGTAGCAGTGCGCCACTGGGCCCGCACTTAATGTGCATTTCTTTGATTAGTTGTGAAGTTGATCTTTTTTGTGTATTTATTAACCATTTGTATGTCCTCTTTTCTATTTTTCTTTGCCCATTTCTTAAGTTAGGTTTTGAGAGTTTTAGTGTAAGGTCTTTAAAGACTAGGATAACCTTTTGTCATTGCAGTTTTGGCAAACATTTTCTCTGAACTAATTGTTTGCTTTCTAATTTTGTTCATGATATTTTTGATATACAGATATTTTACATATTTAAAGTCAGATTTGTTAATATTTTCCTTTGTGAATTTTTTCTATTTTTAAATGCTCAGGACAGAATATCATGCACCCTGTAAAGATTTACTAAATACTCATCTGTGTTTTCATCTTCTTTTATGGCACTTTAAAAAACATTTTTAATCTGTCTCGGATTTACTATGGTTTATGATTTGAGGTAGGGCTGTAATTTGAATTTTCCCCCATTCATTGAATAATCTTTGACTTTCTAACCTGCTTGCACTTTTCTTCTTTATGAACTTTAAATTCTTTTAAATATCCAGATCTGTTTCAGGATTCTCTAGTATATTGGTTTATGCAAAGATTTATGTAAAGGAAACGTTATTAATGAGCCAGGTATTATGTAAACAGTTTTAGAAAGCTTGTTTTTGTTACATAGACAGGGAATGTTATTATGTGTTATTTATATTTTGGTATGTAGAATAAGTAAGTTATAGAGACAGGATTAGAATTTTAAGTGAAAAAGTAACCATCCTTCATATTGCTCATATTGGTGATCTGTCTGCACTCTTTTGCGTATCATTCATCGCGATGGCTAACCAGCATTGAAACCAAAAACTTGTGAGATTGCAGTTCAGGTCAATTTGTAAATTTGTATTTTATAATTTTGTTGTTTCCCCCTTTTTTTTTTTGAGTCGATAGCCTGGAGTACCCTCCTTATGTGTTCTTAGTGTATGCTGTCTAATGGCTAACCAGCATTGAAACCAAAAACTTGTGAGATTGCAGTTCAGGTCAATTTGTAAATTTGTATTTTATTATTTTGTTGTTTCCCCCTTTTTTTTTTTTGAGTCGATAGCCTGGAGTACCCTCCTTATGTGTTCTTAGTGTATGCTGTCTAGGGAGAAACCACAGGGATCTATCTATGTGCCCTCCACAAAAGCAGGCATTCTTTGGCTTGCAAAGGTATGGAAATGCTGTCTTAGCAAGAGAAACATAAAATCTGTGATCCCTGTAGACAGTTCTAATTATATACAAACTTAAGCCATAAAAATGAATGCAATTGCCTTAATTGTACAAGGTGTATGTGTATTAGATTGGTCATATTGAATTGCTAATATTTAACCAATTTTATATAGTTCACGGTAATACCTGTAGACACATCTATGCACTTTAAAATAGTCAAGCCCAAATGATAGGGAGGTTTTTTTCGTTTTTTGTTTTTAGTTTGGTCTAAAGAAGCAAGAGGTGTTAAATGTAGTGAGTATTGGTATGTCAAGAATTTTGGCAGACCAACTTTTGAAATGACAACACTGATGCCATTTTATATGAGCATGAAACCCACTTTTATAAGCCTATACTGACCTTCCCGGCAACATTTATCATCCAGTACCTTTGTGAAACAGGCCAAACCGTAGTAGATATGGAAAGAATTTTGAGAGAATATAAGAATTAACACCAGTTTAGTGTGTCAGATTTCTTTATTTTTCTCTTGTTTTTTTGAAAGATCTGTTTTCATCTGTTTTTTTTTTTTTTACTGTAGCACTTCTTGAATGCTATTATTTAAGAAGTCAGAAAGTTTAGGCTATTTAGTCATGAATCTTAAATATTTGATGAAATCTCATCTCAGTTCTTTAAACAACAATAAAATATGAAGCTTCTTCAATGAGGTCATTTCCGGAATTCACCTGTGGAAGAAACCAATGGATGTTAAAGTTCAATTTTGAATCACAATTGGATATCCTGGAGGGCTCCAACCTAAAAGTTGTATTCCAAAAAACCATAGCACTCACCATGATTACACTATATATTATATGATTAATATAGTTAATTAGTTAATATAATTAATTAGTGTATGATTATAGCATATATTTGTTTGTTTGTTATCTGCTTCCCCGCTAGTATGTAAGTGCCATGAATGAAAGGAACTTTGTTTTTGTTTACTGCTGTATCCCAGTGCCTAAAATTGATTATATTATATATTTAATACCATATATATCCAGCTCAGGAGAGGGTTTCAGTCATCTCCTCAGTGTGCTTTCTGCCCTCTTTTTTCAGGGCCTTCCCTCCTTCTGAAGAATGGCTACTGCTTGGCAGAGACTGGGTGTTTATGCCTCTCTTCTTAAAAGGCAGCTATATGGTGGACCAGATCCCATCAAATGGGAAAGGAGAGTAATTCCAGGATGTACCAGAAGTATTTACAGTGCCACAGGAAAGTGGACAAAAGAGTACACGTTGCAGACAAGAATGGATGTCGAGAAATGGTGGTATCAACGAATAAAAGAACAGGCCTCCAAAATGTCAGAAGCTGATGTGAGTATTCTGAGAGATTCTAAGAGGGTAGGGAAGAGAGGCTTAGGGTTTGGACTCTGGGTTCAGATTGCCTGGATTCAAATGAGTTATTATGTGTGTGACCTTGAACCAATTATTGAATCACTGTGCTCGGTTTTCTTGTCTAAAGTGGAGGGTGATAATAGTGCCCCCTAGCTTCCTAGGAGGATTGCGAGAAGTAAATGAGATGATACCAGGATAGTGCTGAAAAGAGTTTCCAGTGTGGTACGTGTGTACATGGCAATAGTGGGCACATAGTACATGGCAGATGGCACCACAACAGGCTTTCTGGAGCAACATTTACGGGGAAAGCTCATCAAGACAGAAGCATTGGCAGGTGTCTGGTCCTTCATGGTCCGTTGCAGGGTGGGGCAACACACAGGGATCTGCCAGGGCCAAATGCGAGACTGCAGGAGAGGCACCTAGGCTCCTCAGCTGACTGCATGTTCTGAGAAGAATCTGCCCTTCCCCTGGCATGAACTTGGCCTCCAACCCTGTTCTGCCACCTCAGCATCCTGGTTTGGGGGGGTACTAGCCCCTCCTCCAGTGTGATCTCAGCTGGGGTCCAACCTTGCAGTAGCAACTATATGAGTTAATGGACCCTTGGCTTCTGGTCTGGATGCACTGGTTCAGCGCTATACTGAATTAACTGTGTCAAGTACTTGGCTGTAGCAGGTTTCCATGGAGTGCTCTCTGCTCCTCTGGAAGGCCAGCCTGTGGGGATCAGTCTTGGTCATGTTGACACTCTTGATATTGGTCAAAATGGCAAATGGGAGATGTAATCTGTTACATGAAATGTTTGAATCTGATCAGAGCAAAGCATTTAAGATAAGAGTTTTACTCTTAAATTTGACCATCCCTTTGGGCCGGCCCGGTGGCGCACTGCTACTGTGCGCCGCTTGGGAAGTGCGGCGGCGCTCCTGCCGAGGGTTCGGATCCCACATACAGGCCGGCCGCTCACTGGCTGAGCGAGGTGCGGGAGCAACCCCGAGGGTTGCGATCCCGTAGCCGGTCCTGGTCCGGTACGGGCGCGACACTGAGGGTTGCGATCCGTTGCCGGTCATGAAAAAAGACAAAAAG